ACGCACATGCACAAAAATTGGCACACACCTCAAACATGGCAAAACATACGAAAAAGTCTCTTGGAGCCATATCTCAAACCCAACAGGAAGTCGGATATTTTTAACTTCCTGTGGCGATAAAGTGGCGCTTTTGCCATTTCCAGGCGTTGTATTTTAACGAACTCCTCCTAGGGATTTTATCTGATAAACACCAAAATTGGGTTTTGTCATCTTAAAGCCTTGGTGATGTTAAATTGCGAAGCTTTAGAGTTTTCATCGATGGGCGTGTCCGTGGCGGCCTCGCAAACTTTGATGATTCGCCACAAAACAGGAAGTCTTTATAACTCAGGGATGCATTATTCGATCTGCCTCAAACTTCACACATTTAATAACAGTCCTGACCTGATCAGGTTTACGTGCCGATATCTAGTTACAGCTATAGTGCCACCTGCTGGCCACAGGAAATGACATGTTTGACACTGTAACAAACTCCTCCCACAAACTTTCCTGTATCAGCACCAAAATAGAGTGGTGTCATCTGAAAGCTCTAGCGATGATATATTGTGAAGATCTAGAGTTTTTGCAGAGGGGCGTGTCTGTGGTGGCATGACAAACCTCAACGCTTCGCCATGGAACAGGAATTCCTTATAACTCAACCACACAATGTCTGATCTGCCTGAAACTTCACATGATTGATAAAAGTCCTCTCCTGAACACATCCACATAACAATATTGAGTCAGTCATAGCGCCACCTGCTGGCAGAAGGTAGTTTGGCTTGTAACTCGGCCACACAATGTCTGATCTGCCTGAAACCTCACATGGTTGATGAAAGTCCTCTCTTGAGCACATCTACATAATAATATTGAGTCAGAGTCATAGCGCCACCTGCTGGCAGAAGAAATTTTGGCTTGTAACTCGGCCACACAATGTCAGATCTTCCTAAAATGTCACATGGTTGATGAAAGTCCTCTCCTAAACACATCTACATAATAATATTGAGTCTTTCATAGCGCCACCTGCTGGCAGAATGTAGTTTGTCTTAAAACACAATCTCCACACAATCTCTGATCTGCCTGAAACTTCACATGGTTGATAAAAGTCCGCTCCTGAACACATCCACATAACAATATTGAGTCAGTCATAACGCCACCTGCTGGCAGAAGGTAGTTTGGCTTATAACTCAGCCACACAATGTCCCATGTGCCTGAAACTTCACATGGTTGATAAGATTCCTCTCCGGAAGACATCTACATGCCAATATTGAGTCACAGTTATAGCGCCACCTGCTGACAGGAGGAAGTTTGGCATAAATATGTGATTTTCTTAGATTTTTAAAATATATTGGCTTAAATTATTATTGTTCGCTGTTCTCTGTCATCGTAAGGTCACCGGGCGGCGGTGAGCCCGGGTGCGAGGTCCCTATCATCGCTGCTTGCAGCTTTAATTATTATTATTATTATTATTATTATTCTTTTCCGGAATGAATCGCGATTTTGAGGGGCTAAACATGCCCGAAAACTCACGGAACTTTGCACACGCCTCAGAAGTGGCGAAAATTTACGTTTATTATGGGTCTCGGAAGTGGGCGTGGCAAAATGACTCGACAGCGCCACCTAGAAAAATTAAACGGACGAGCCCCCGATCTACGAATCACGCACATGCACGAAAATTGGCACACACCTCAAACACACCAAAACATACGAAAAAGTCTCTTGGAGCCATATCTCAAACCCAACAGGAAGTCGGATATTTTTGACTTCCCGCGGCGAAAAAGTGGCGTTTTTTCCATTTCCAGGCGTTGTATTTTAACGAACTCCTCCTAGGGATTTTATCCGATCGACACCAAAATTGGGTTTTGTCATCTTAAAGCCTTGGCGATGTTAAATTGCGAAGCTTTAGAGTTTTCGTCGATGGGCGTGTCGGTGGCGGCCTCGCAAAGTTTGACGATTCGCCACAAAACAGGAAGTCGTTATAACTCAGACATGCATTATCCGATCTGCCTCAAAATTCACACGTTTAATAACAGTCCTGACCTGAACACGTTTACATGCCAATATCCAGATACAGTTACAGTGCCACCTGCTGGCCACAGGAAATGACATGTTTTACAAAGTAACAAACTCCTCCCACAAATTTTATCGTATCAGCACCAAAATTGGGTAGTGTTATCTAAAAGCTCTAGTGATGATATATTGTGAAGATCTAGAGTTTTCGGAGAGGGGCGTGTCCATGGCGGCATGACAAACCTCAATGCTTCGCCATTGACCTGGAAGGCTTCATAACTCAACCCCACAATGTCTGATCAGCCTGAAACTTCACATGGTTGGTAAAAGTCTTCTCCTGAACACATCCACATAACAATATTGAAGTGGGCGTGGCAAATCAACTCGACAGCGCCACCTAAAAAAATTAATTGGATGAGCCCCTGATATACGAATCACGCACATGCACGAAAATTGGCACACACCTCAAACATGCCAAAACATACGAAAAAGTCTCTTGGTGCCATATCTCAAACTCAACAGGAAGTCGGATATTTTTAACTTCCTGCTGAAAAAAAGTGGCGTTTTTGCCATTTCCAGACGTTGTATTTTAACGAACTCCTCCTAGGGATTTTATCCGATCAACACCAAAATTTGGTTTTGTCATCTAAAGGCCTTGGCGATGTTAAATTGCGAAGCTTTAGAGTTTTCGCAGAGGGGTGTGTCCGTGGTGGCATGACAAACCTCAACGCTTTGCCATTGACCAGGAAGTCCTTATAACTCAACCACACAATGTCCGATCTGCCTGAAACTTCACATGGTTGATAAAAGTCCTCTTCTGAACACATCCACATAACAATATTGAGTCAGTCATAGCGCCACCTGCTGGCAACCAGAAGTTTGGCTGATAACTCAGCCACACAATGTTTGACCTGCCTGAAAATTCACATGGTTGAATAAAATTCTCTCCTGAAGACATCTACAAGCCAATATCAAGTCACAGTCATAGCGCCACCTGCTGACAATAGGAAGTTACTTATAACTCAGGCAAGCAATGTTCGATCTGCCTGAAAAATTACATGGTTGATAAAATTTATCTCCTAAAGACATCTACATGCCAATATTGACACACAGTCCAAGCGCAACCTGCTGACAGGAGGAAGTTTGGCATAAATCTGTGATTTTCTCAGGTTTTTTAAATATATATTGGCTTAAATTAATATTGTTCGCTGTTCTCTGTCATCCTGAGAACACCGGGCGGCGGTGAGCCCGGGTGCGAGGTCCCTATCATCGCTGCTTGCAGCTTTAATTGTTATTTATGATTGCTTGAGATTTTGCTTGTACTATTTTGATTGCTTGTATTTTGTTTTTGTTTTTTCAAATTATTTTTACCTGTTTTCCTTTTCATTTCATAATTGTTTTACAGTTTATATGTTGAAAAAAATAATACATTTATTTATATTATTATTGTTATCATTATTATTGTCATTATTAATGCATATTTGATGTATTCGCCATATTCTTGTTGTTTTCTGGAATAGGGGATTTGTATTTTATTTTATTTGTGGTTGTTATTGTCATGTGGACAAATGTATTTATATATGCACACTCATCGGCCACTTTATTAGGTACACCTGTGAAACTGCTCGTTAACACAAAATTCTAATCAGCCAATCATTATGCAGCAACTCAATGCATTTAGGCATGCAGACATGGTCAAGAGGAACTGCTGCAGTTCAAAGTGAGCATCAGAATGGGGAAGAAAGGGGATTTAGGTGACTTTGAACGTGGCATGGTTGTTGCTGCCAGACGGGCTGCTCTGAGTATTTCAGAAACTGCTGATCTACTGGGATTTTCACGCACAACCATCTCTAGGGTTTACATGCTCCGACAAAGAGGAAATATCCAGTGAGCGGCAGTTCTGTGGGCGCAAATGCCTTGTTGATGAGGCCAGAGGTCAGAGGAGAATGGCCAGACTGGTTCCAGCTGATAGAAAGGCAACAGAAACTCAAATAAGCACTCGTTACAACCGAGCTCTGCAGAAGAGCATCTCTGAACACACAACACGTCCAACCTTGAGGCGGATGGGCTACAGCAGCAGAAGAGCACACCGGGTGCCGCTCCTGTCAGCTAAGAACAGGAAACTGAGGCTACAATTCACACAGACTCACCAAAACTGGACAATAGAAGATTGGAGAAACGTTGCTGCTCTGATGAGTCTCCATTTCTGCTCACACATTCAGATGCTCGGGTCAGAATTTGGCCTCAACAACATGAAAGCATGGATCATCCTGCCTTGTATCAGCGGTTCAGGCTGGTGGTGGTGGTGTAATGGTGTTGGGAGATTTTCTTTGGGTCCATTAGTACCAATTGAGCATCAACGCCACAGCCTACCTGAGTATTGCTGCTGACCATGTCCATCCCTTTATGAGCACAGTGTCTCCATCTTCTGATGGCTACTTCCAGCAGGATAACGCAGCATGTCATAAAGCTCAATCATCTCAGATTGGTTTCTTGAACATGACGATGAGTTCACTGTACTCAAATGGCCTCCACAGTCACCAGAGCTCAATCCAATAGAGCACTTTTGGGATGTGGTGGAACAGGAGATTGGCATCATGGATGTGCAGCCGACAAATCTTCAGCAACTGTGTGATGCTATCATTGTCAATATGGAGCAAAATCTCTGAGGAATATTTCCAGTAGCTTGTTGAATCTCTGCCACGAAGGATTAAGGCAGATCAGAAGGCAAAAGGGGTCCAACCTGGCACTAGTAAGGTGTACCTAATAAAGTGGCCGGTCAGTGTGTGTGTGTGATTGTATATGATATTTATGTGTGTAATATGTCTGGGGTTAATGTGTGTATGGTGTATATAATGAATGCGTGTTTCTGTTTTATGTAATGTGTGTGTGTGTGTGTGTGTGTGTGTGTGTATAATGTGTGGGTTATGTATATACTACATGCATGTGTGTGTTTGCTTGTGTGTGTGTGATGTATATAATGTTTGTGTGTGTGTGTGTGTGTGTGTGTGTGTCAGCACGGGGCAGTCGTATCCCGAGGCCCAGTGTGAGTCAGGGTTGTAGTCGCGACACGAGTCGAGAGAGCAGTCGAGACACCAGTCCTGCCCGCGGCTTCAGTCCTCTGGGTGAGAGTCGCACTTATAAACACTTAATGGGACTATTCTCAGTTTCATACGGTTCCTTTTACAGCATTGATGCTGTAATGAAGTTAAAACACACTCAGTTAAATAGATTTCAGCATTCATATAGCTGCTCAAGCCTTAAAAACGAGATGAAAGACTGTGTAAACACAAGTGCCGGCAGCAGGCGAGCGTAGAAACTCTATTGAATACACTGGGGTAAATACAATTTTGACATTTACAGGAAGCAGAAAATTAAAAGTCCCTATGTGTATAGTCTATTGAGTGTTTCAGTGCACTGAACAAATAACCTGCTCGTATGCTCTGTTTGAATGTGTGTGTCTGTGTGTATATCTGTGTGTGTGTGTCTCTTCCCAGCATCACACAGACACTGTCGCTCCACGGGTGCACTGACGGGCACTGATGGTCTGCAGACAGGTGATCTGCTGCTTCATCATCATCATCATCTTTATTTTCATCCTCAGAGAGTGTGTGCAGTGCTGATGTTCATCCACACGGCGACGCCACTGAGCTCAATCCTCACACACTGAACACTGATGCGGAGCTCTTCTGCATGTTCACAGCTGTTTATTTGTGACTCTGGAGCACTCATTTGTGTCAAATTGAGATTTGTACATCGTCTAAAGGCTGAATAGATAAGCTTTACATTGATGACCGATGGGTTGCAATATTTGGACAGTGTTTTGTATTGGAAATCTGAGAGTCCATTAAACTGAAATATTGAGAATATTGAGAATATCACCTTTAAAGTTATCTAAATGAAGCGCTTAGCAATGCATATTAATAATCAAAAGTTAAGCTTTGATGTATTTAAAGTAGGATTTTTTATTTATTTGTTTATTTTAAAAGATAAGCTTAATATTTATTGATTTTTGGCATACAAGAAAGATCATTTTGACCCATTCAATGTATTTGGCTGTTACCACAAAATATACCCGTGCAACTAAAGCCTTCAGGTTTTGTGCTCCAGTGTCACGTATTATTGTTTGTATTTTGTGCATTTTTGTCATGAAACATGCATTATTTCTCTTTTATGTTTGCATATTTGATAGTCATTTTTGGGGAAATATTATGTGCTTTTATTTATGCTTTTTAATTCTATATTTCTCTGTTGTTGGTGCATGCACATTGCTGTATTTCACATATATAAATGAGTTCAGAGGTTTCATCCTAATTTGACATACAGTTGAAGTCAGAATTATTCGCAGATTTCTTCAGCACATTTCTAATCATAATAGTTTTAATAACTCATCTCTAATAACTGATTTATTTTATCTTTGCCATGATGACAGTAAATAATATTAGACTAGATATTCTTCAAGACACTTCTATACAGCTTAAAGTGACATTTAAAGGCTTCACTAGGGTAATGAGGTTAACTAGGCAGGTTCGGGTAATTAGGCAAGTTATTGTATAACAGTGATTTGTTCTGTAGACTATCAGGAAAAAATAAATAGCTTAAAGGGGCTAATAATATTGTCCTTAAAATGGTGTTTAAAAAATTAAAAACTGCTTTTATTCTAGCCAAAATAAAACAAATCAGACTTTATCCAGAAGAAAAAATATTATTAAACATACTGTGAACATTTCCTTACTCTGTTAAGCATTCAATTAGTAAATTCACCAAGTTTACTATTTGGATTTGTGTATTTATGAATCATTTTTGAATTGATAAATTGGTTTGTGCATATTATAAATCGTGTTTTAAATTTACAAATTGGATTTGGTGTATTACGAATTGTTTTGAACTTGCGAATTGGATTTTGTAAATGTAAATTGTGTTGTGGATGAATTATATTTTGTAAATGTTTTGTTTCTGAGACTGATCTGCCTCCATATTTACATTATGGCTTATTTTATACATGTGAACTGCAAGTATAAACTTGTATGTCATGTATGTCATTTGCATATATCAGATTTGTTTGTGCAAATGTGTGATGTCTGATATCTGTGTGTGTGTTTAGATCGGTTCGGGCTCCTCCATCAGGCTCGTATCTCTGCGTCGGTGAACGCCATGCGGATCCTGAACACCGGCACAGAGGTGGAGGCGGCGGTTGCAGACGCTCTGGTGAGAATCAGATCCGTCTCTGTTCATTATAAAAATCATTACTAACAAGTAGTGTAGAAGTTAAAAATGGCCATCATTTCAATGCTAAAACAGAAAAAACGAAATATGCTACTGTAAAAATCCGTAACCTGGTTAACAGTAGGTTTCCTCAATACTGTATTTACCAGCATGGACCACGCCACACTCTGAGCTAGACTTTATCGTAGGGATGAAAGGGGTAGTAAGGGAACAGCGGGATGAAAGGGAACTGAAGTAAGTGAGCAGGTAGTTAGGTTGATCTGGACATCCTTTGATGATGCCCAGAGACTCAGAGTGGGGGCAGCCTCTCTGCAATATTGTGGTAGAGTGATCAGGACCCCCAAATTTAACATAGGAGGGAAGAAATGGTTATAAGGATTGTTAATGGGAAGCAAGGTAATAGAGGGAGGGAGGTTGAGTTCGAGAGAATTTACAGTAGAATTTTTTTATTTATTTGTTTATTTTAAAAGTTAAGCGTAATATTTATTGATTTTTGGCATACAAGAAAGATCATTTTCACCCATTCAATGTATTTTTCGGCTGTTACCAAAAAATATACCCGTGCAACTAAAGCCTTCAGGTTTTGTGCTCCAGTGTCACGTATTATTGTTTGTATTTTGTGCATTTTTGTCGTGAAACATGCATTATTTCTCTTTTATGTTTGCATATTTGATAGTCATTTTTGGGGAAATATTATGTGCTTTTATTTATGCTTTTTAATTCTATATGTCTCTGTTGTTGGTGCATGCACATTGCTGTATTTCACATATATAAATGAGTTCAGGGGTTTCATCCTAATTTGACACACAGTTGAAGTCAGAATTATTCGCCCCCTGTTTATTTGTTCCCCCAATTTCTGTTTAACGGAGAGCAGATTTCTTCAGCACATTTCTAATCATAATAGTTTTAATAACTCATCTCTAATAACTGATTTATTTTCTCTTTGTCATGATGACAGTAAATAATATTAGACTGGACTGGACATCCTTTGATGATGCCCAGAGACTCAGAGTGGGGGCACCCTCTCTGCAATATTGTGGGAGAGTGATTAGCACCCCCAAATTTAACCTAGGAGGGAAGAGATTATAAGGATTGGTAATGGGATGCAAGGTAATAGAGGGAGGGAGGTTAGGTTCGAGAGAACCTCGCAAAAACGGAAATGCTTGACGTTTCTGCCAACCCGACTCTACTTCATAACTTTTCAATCCAGATGGACGGGGCAACCATTACTGCATCCAAAATGGTGAAAAGCCTTGGAGTAACGATTGATGACCAACTAAACTTCTCTGACCACATCTCTAGAACTGCTCGATCTTGCAGATTCGCACTCTATAACATCAGAAAGGTCCGACCCTTCTTATCTGAACATGCAGCTCAACTCCTTGTTCAAGCTCTTGTTCTCTCCAGACTGGATTACTGCAACTCTCTACTAGCCGGGCTTCCAGCTAACTCTATCAAACCTCTTCAGCTGCTCCAGAACGCAGCAGCATGAGTGGTCTTCAATGAACCTAAACGAGCACATGTCATTCCGTTGCTCATCCGTTTGCACTGGCTGCCAGTTGCTGCTCGCATTAAATTCAAAGCTCTGATGTTTGCCTACAAAGTGACTTCTGGCTTTGCTCCTTCTTATCTGCTCTCACTTCTGCAGATCTATGTGCCCTCCAGAAACTTGCGTTCTGTAAATGAACGTCGCCTCGTGGTTCCATCCCAAAGAGGGAAGAAATCACTTTCCCGAACTCTCGCGTTCAATCTGCCCAGTTGGTGGAATGAACTCCCTAACTGCATCAGAACGGCAGAGTCACTCGCTACTTTCAAGAAACGACTAAAAACTCAACTATTTAGTCTCCACTTCACTTCCTAATCTGCAATTGCCTCTCTGGATATCACACTAACTGTACCCAAAAAAAACAAACAAAATAAAATACTAATTCTACTAATACTTTCCTTCTTAGACTTTACACACCTGAAACTTGCCTACAGCACTTATTCATTGTTACTCTTATAGTTGTGTAAATTGCTTCCTTGTCCTCATTTGTAAGTCACTTTGGATAAAAGCGTCTGCTAAATGACTAAATGTAAATGTAAATGAATAACAGTGCTAGAGGATCGGTCTGCTTTAAGTAAGTTTTAGGGAGTAGATGAGTGGTTAAGGAGGCAAAGTAAGACGTGGTCCTGCTGCTTAACCTCTGTTAACAAATTAATTCCATAACACATCGAATATCCGTAAATTGACTGGCTCATTTGTTCAATCTGTGCATAAACTGTGTAAATCAGTTCAGAGAAGCAGAGAAATAATAGTAAGTTTGCATGTTTTGTTGTTTGACATGTTTATATTTCTCGTCTACAGTAAAGTAGAGCGGCGACGGCAGATTAGAGGAACATATTGCTGTAAAAGTCTACAAATGTACTCGAGTAAAAATGGTCTTTTGTTTCTGAAATGACTCGCTAAAGTACGTTTCCTGAGAAAAACAACACAGTTATTTAAGTGTTTGTAATCTGCTTTACACCACACTGACATGTTTGGCTTTTCTCTGCTTCAGCTTCTGGGAGACTCGAGGAATAAGGTACTGAAACTAATAAAGCCTCTGCAAATGTTCTCCAGTAATGCTTTTACATTATCATACATCATCTGTGGTAAATATTGTGTTGTAAAAAAATAAAGGATGAAATAGAAGAAGAGAACCCAGTCTAGGAGACTCGAAACAAGCAGAATTCCTTTATATAGACGCGTTGGTTAATCTGCAGTCATACAGCGTCTTTTAAGATGCCCATGTGTCCGCAGAGCCTACTGGAGGAGCGCAGACAGCAAGTTCTATCACAAGTCTGAATTAAGACAAAGATGTCCTGTCTATATTGTGTTCTTAGGAGGAGGGGAAATGGCTAAACAAAACATGCACATTCAGATTTGGAGTCAGCAGGGTAAATTGGCTTAAAAACCGGCCCAGCTACTGACCACACAAGTTAATCAGCACAAGGGTTTCTGTAGCATAAAAGCAACACCTGAAAAACCTGCCCGCAGCCTTTGCATCCCTTTGGCTTAGCCAGTAGTCAGAAAGACAAAAGGGTAAATATCCTTCCTAGCTGGGATGTTCATGAAGTGATATAATTAAAAACTAAAGAATAGAACTTTTCAGTTATATGTAGATTATTGTTCATTTGAAATTCGATTATATAAATTAATATTTCCACAATTGTTTGTATGATGCTCACTTTGTAAAAGCATGGACTGTGTGACGATGCCTTTTACAATGCTGATAAAACCAGACATCAGTTATAAAAGCTGAACATCTCTTTAATGTGTGTGTGTGTGTGTGTGTGTGTGTGTGTGTGTGTGTGTGTGTGTGTGTGTGTGTGTGTGTGTGTGTGTGTTTCAGCGTGGTCAGGTGCGGCGGCGGTATGAGTCTCCAGGTGTGTGTTCAGATGATGATGTGAACAGTGATGCGTCGAGTGTGTGCTCTGAGCGATCCTTCAGTTCTCGTAACGGGAGTGCGGTCCCACATCACCTGCGGCAGACAGAGGACGTGGCGGAAATCCTGAACCGCTGCGCCAGCGCTAACTGCACTGAGAGGAAAGAGGGACTGATGAGCCTTCAGAACCTGCTGAAGAACCAGAGAGTGCTCAGGTACAACACACACACACACACACACAGTGAGACACACACTTATACAGATGCACAGACACACACAGACAGACAGACACACACATGCACACAAACATATACAGATGCACACACACACACACACACACAGACACACACTTATACAGATGCACAGACATACACAGAAAGACAGACACACACATGCACACAAACATATACAGATGCACACACACACACAGATTTACATGCACCCAAACACACACACACACACACACGCACACACACACACACACACACACACACACACACACACACACACACACACACACACACACACACACACACACAGACATGCATAGATGCATGCAAGCACACACACGCACAAACAAGTATACGCAGATACACACCTATACATGCTTTTCAGAATAAAAGTATCATTTTTTGTTGTTTTTAAGTTTAGAACCGAAAAAGTCTAGAACCAAAATAAAAAAATATAGAACCAAAGTGAAAACGTCTAGAACCGAAAAAGTCTAGAACCAAAGTGAAAACGTCTAGAATCGAAAAGTCTCTAAAAAATTTAAAAAGTCTAGAACCAAAATAAAAAACGTCTAGAACCGAAAAAGTCTCAAACCACAATTAAAAAGTCTAGTACCAAAATAAAAAACGTCTAGAACCGAAAAAGTCTAGAACTGAAAAAATGCTAGAGCAAAAAAAATCTAGAACCAAAAAACTCTAGAACCCAAAAAACTATAAAACCAAAAAAATTAAATAAAACTCTAAAACCAAAATAAAAAAGTCTAGAACCGAAATGAAATCGTCTAGAACCAAAAAAGTCTAGAACCAAAATTAAAAAGTGTAGAACCAAAAAAGTCAATAACCAAAAAAGTCTAGAACCGCAAAAGTCTAGAACCAAAATGAAAACGTCTAGAACCGAAAAGTCTAGAACCAAAATAAAAACGTCTAGAACCAAAAAAGTCTAGAACCAAAATTAAAAAGTCTAGAACCAAAAAAGTCAAGAACCAAAAAAGTGTAGAACCGCAAAAGTCTAGAACTGACAAGTCTAGAACTGAAAAGTCTAAAACAGCAAAAGTCTAGAACTGACAAGTCTAGAACTGAAAAGTCTAAAACAGCAAAAGTCTAAAACAGCAAAAGTCTAGAACTGAAAAGTCTAGAACCGCAAAAGTCTAGAACTGAAAAGTCTAGAACCGCAAAAGTCTAGAACTGAAAAGTCTAGAACCGCAAAAGTCTAGAACTGAAAAGTCTAGAACTGAAAAAGTCTAGAACTGAAAAAATGCAAGAGCAAAAAAAATCTAGAACCAAAAACTCTAGAACCAAAAACTCTAGAACCCAAAAAACTCTAGAACCGAAAAAAAACCCCGAAAAAAAGTCTAAAACCAAAATAAAAAAAGTCTAGAACCAAATGTTAAAATCCTGAGTTTAAAGAAAGATGTAGTGCAAAGATGCTGAAAAATTAAATGTATTTTTTAAATGTCATCTTTTTCATGTAATTTACAAGTGAAAATGAATTAAAATCATGAATATATATATATATATATATATATACAGTTGAAGTCAGAATTATTAGCCCCCTTTTGATTTTTATTTTCTTTTTTAAATATTTCCCAAATGATGTTTAACAGAGCAATGACATTTTTACAGTATGTCTGATAATATTTTTTCTTCTGAAGAAAGTCTTATTTGTTTTATTTCGGCTAGAATAAAAGTAGTTATTAATTTTTTAAAAACATTTTTGGGACAAAATTATTAGCCCCTTTAAGCTAATTCTTTTTTGGATAGTCTACAGAACAAACCATCATCATACAATAATTTGACTAATTACCCTAACCTGCCTAGTGCACCTTATTACCCTAGTTAAGCTTTTAAATGTCACTTTAAGCTGTATAGAAGTGTCTTGAAGAATTTCAAGTAAAATATTATTTACTGTCATCATGACAAAGACAAAATACATCTGTTATTAGAAATAAGTTTTTAAAACTATTATGCTTAGAAATGTGCTGAAACAATCTTCCCTCCATTAAACAGAAATTGGGGAAAAAAATAAACAGGGGCGCTAATAATACAGGGGGCTAATAATTCTGACTTCAACTGTATATATATATCAAATTATGTGTGTGTGTGTGTGTGTGTGTGTGTATATAATCTACATTTAAATGGACAGTGTGTGTGTTCGTTTGTTGTTTTCAGTCGTGTGGAGCTGAAGCGCCTGTGTGAAATCTTCACCAGGATGTTTGCTGATCCACACAGCAAGGTGACTTTGATCTGAACACATTCACACAGTCACATGACTTCTGATAGATCTGATGATTAATAAACATTCATGCTTTACTGTTCCACGCTCTGCTGATTGGCCGATTGATCAGAGAGTAAGTCTTTACTTTCACTTTGAATACAATGAGTTTATGTGCATGTGTGCATGTGTGTTTGTGCACATATATGTCTGTGCATTTGTTTCTGTATGTGTATATAAAATGTGTCAGTGTGTGTATAAACTGTTTTGTGTGTGTGTGTGTGTGTGTGTGCAGGTGTTCAGCATGTTTCTGGAGACTCTGCTGGACTTCATCTCTCTGCACAGAGAGGATCTGCAGGACTGGCTCTTCATCCTCCTCACACAGCTGCTGAAGAAGACGGGGGTCGACCTGCTGGGGTCTGTACAGGCCAGAGTACAGCGCGCCCTCGACGTCACACGGTCTGAGCAACGCACGCACACACACACACAAACACACACACACACTCATCCTCATAAACTTACTTACACGCAGTCATACACTTTCTCTCTCTCACACACACATACACAAATGTTCTGTAGTTACTCACACACTTATACACTTACACACACACACACACACACACACACACACACACACACACACACACACACACACACACACACACACACTCACACTCTCTCTCTCCTGCTCCTCTTTAAAATTTGTCGCTTCACTCATGTTTTCCTGTGTGTGTGTGTGTGTGTGTGTGTGTGTGTGTGTGTGTGTGTTGTGGTTTTCTCAGAGAGTCGTTTCCATACGATCAGCAGTTCAACATCCTGATGCGCTTCATTGTTGATCAAACACAAACGCCAAACCTGAAGGTGGGTCACACCGTCATGCTCAAACACACACACACACACACGCACACACACACACACACACACACACACACACACACACACACACACACACACACACACACACACACACACACATATAAACACACACACAAGCATGGCCATACATATGTGTGTGTGTCTGTTTCGTTTACAAGTATGTGTGTGTGTTTGTTTACATGGTCATAATGTGTCTTTATGCATGTGTATGTGTGTGCCTATGTGTGTGTATGTGTGAGTGTGTATGAATGTGTCTCTGTGTGAGTGTGTGTGTTTCTGTTTGTATGTTTATGTGGGTGTAAAAGTGTTTGCGTGTGTGAATGTGACTGTGTTTGTGTACTTGTGTGTATGTGTGTGTTTGTTTACATTTATGTGTGTGTTTGTTTATGTTTAAGTGTTTGTTTGTGTGTTTGTTTGTGTGTTTGTGTGTATTTGTGTGTATGTGACTGTTTAAGTGTGTGTGTGTGTGTGTGTGTGTGCGTGTGTTTGAGCATGTGTGAATATGTCTGTGTTTGTTTGTGTGTGTGTGTGGACGTGTGTATATAAATGGCATGTATATGTGTGTGCTTTGTGTGTGTGTGTGTATGTGTGTGGGTATGTGTTTGTTTACATTTATGTGTGTGTTTGTTTACGTTTAAGTGTTTGTTTGTGTGTTTGTTTACGTGTGTGTGTGTATGTGAATGTGCGTATGTGAATGTGTCTGTTTTTTTGTCAGTGTGTGTGTTTAAAAGATGTGTGTGTGTGTGTGTGTATGTGTGTGAATGTGTTTGTGTGAATGTGTGTGTTTTTATGTCAGTGTGTGTGTGTTTAAATGGTGTGTAATTATGTGTGTGTGTGTGTGTGTGTGTGTGTGTGTGTGTGTATGTGTGTATGTATGTACGTACGTATGTAAATGTGTCTTTTTTGGTCAGTGTGTGCGTTTAAATGCTGTGTGTGTGTTTGTTTACATTTTTGAGTGTATGTTTACTTGTGTGTTTGTTTACTCTTTGTGCTTGCGTGTGTGTTTGTTTACGTGTGTGTGCATGTGTGTGTGTACGTATGTGAATGTGTCTGTTTTTTTGTCAGTGTGTTTGTTTAAATGGTGTGTGTGTATGTGTGTGTATATGTATGTGTTTGTTTACTTTTATGAGTGTGCATTTACTTGTGTGTTTGTTTACTTTTGTGTGTGTGTGTGTGAATGTGTGTGTGTGAGGTGTGTATGTGTTTGTGCGTACGTGAGTATGTCTGTTTTTTTGTCAGTGTGTGTGTTTAAATGGTGTATGTGTGTGTGTGTGTTTGTTTACATTTATGAGTGTGTGTTTAGTTGTGTTTGTTTACTTTTTTGTGTGTGTGTGTGTGTGTGTGCGTGTGCGTGCGTGTGTGTGTTTTAGTCTCAGGCGTCTCCTGAAGTCATCAGCAGTGTGAAACCTCCGAAACCCCCTGCGACGCGCAGCAGCCCACTGACTTCACCCACCAGTGGCACACACACCGGACTCTCACCCAGGTACATTCAGCATATACACACACGTGCACACACACTGACTGAACACACACATTTAAAACAGACATATATACAGTAACGCACACACACACTGTACGCACACAGACACATATATTGTATATAACTCATTTGCACACATGCACACACACTGAGCACATGCACATGTAACACAATATCACACACACTGATCTGAACGGGGCTGAAGTACTTCAGAAGTGTGTGTTCATGTGTGTTTCAGTGTAGAGTCAGTCATAAAGGTGTGTTCTCTCTCTCAGTCAGTCAGGAGTATGACATCATCAGGCACTGAAACAGGAGCATCTGTGTGCTCACAGCTGCTTTGCTGGAGCTCCTCCCACAGTGATGCTGATTGGTCGTTATGTCTGTATATTAATCAGTAAACTCACTGTCACATGAATGTGTTTGGTCAGGGCAGTGTGGCTTGAGGACCTGCAGCTTTGACTCTGTTTGCTCTCTTCTCTGCTCTTCCTTCCGTTTACTTTCCTCTTCCTATCCACATTTCCCCTTATCCACTTTCTCTACTCTTCTTCCCATTTCCTCTCCACTTCTTCTGCTATTCCTGCCCTCTTCCTCTGTACTTCCTCCCTTTTCTCTTCCCCTTCTGCCATTTCCTCTGCTCTTCCTCCCCCTTTCCTCTTCTCTTCCTCTGCACTTCCCCCTTCCTCTCCTCTTTACCTTTCCTCTTCCTCTGCTATCCCTTCCCCGTCCTCTGCTCTTCCTCTCCTCTTCCTCACTTTCCTCGGCTCTTCCTCTCCCTTTTGTCTTCTATTTCTCTTCTTCCTTCTCTTTTCCTCTGCTCTTCCTCTCATCTTCCTCCCCACTTCCTCTGCTCTTCCTCTCCCCTTTGTCTGCTATGCATCTCCTCTTCCTCTTCTTTTCTTCTGCTCTTCCTTTCCTTTACCTCCCATCTTCCTCTGCTCTTCTTCCCTATTTCCTCTCATCTTCATCCTTTTTTCCTCTGCTCTGATCTTCCTATCTGTCTGCTATGCATCTCCTCTTCCTTTCCTTTTCCTCTCATTTACCTCCCCTCTTCCTCTGCTCCTCTTCCCCTTTTCCTCCCCTCTTCCTCTCCTCCCTTTTCCCTCTCATCTTCCTCCCCACTTCCTCTGCTCTTCCTCTGCCCTTTGTCTGCTACTTCTTTCTCCTTCCTTCTCTTTTTCTCTGCTCTTCCTCTCCTCTTCCTCCCTTTTCCCTCTCATCTTCCTCCCCACTTCCTCTGCTCTTCCTCTCCTCTTTGTCTGCTATGCATCTCCTCTTCCTCTTCTTTTCCTCTGCTCTTCCTTTCCTTTACCTCCCATCTTCCTCTGCTCTTCTTCCCTATTTCCTCCCATCTTCCTCCTTATTTCCTCTGCTCTGATCTTCCTCTCCTCTGTCTGCTATGCATCTCCTCTTCCTTTCCTTTTCCTCTCATTTACCTCCCCTCTTCCTCTCCTCCCTTTTTCCTCTCATCTTCCTCCCCACTTCCTCTGCTCTTCCTCTCCTCTTTGTCTGCTATGCATCTCCTCTTCCTCTCCTCTGCTCTTCCTTTCCTTTACCTCCCCTCTTCCTCTGCTCCTCCCTATTTCCTATCATTTTCCTCTCATCTTCCTCCCCACTTCCTCTGCTTTGATCTTCCTCTCCTTTACGTCTGCTTTTCACTTTCCTCTTTTCCCCTCTTCCTCTGCCATTTCGCCACTTTTCCCCTCCTCTTCCTTCCCTTTTCCTTTCCTCTTTTTCTGCTCTGCTATTCCTTCCTTTTTCCTCTCATCTTCCTTCCCATCTCCTCCGTTCTTCCTCTCCTCTTTGTCTGCTATTCCCCTTTCACTCCCCTTTTCCTCTCCTCTTCCTCGGCCTTTTCCTCACTTTTCCTCTCACCTTCCTCTTCTCTTCCTCCCCATTTTCTCTCCTCTTTCTCTTCCTCTATTCTTCTTCTTCCTCTCTGCTCAGTCGTTTGTGGGGCTGGAGCTCAAAGTCTTCTTCTCTTCTCGCCTCCCCTCACCCCGGCTCCGCTACACCCCCTCTGCGGGCCCCACGGCGGGCGTATTCGCCCAGGTAACACACTGTGGCCCCGGCCCCTCCATATAAGGGCATACATCCTGCAGTTATTCACTCTTTCATTGGTGGTCTAATAAATCAAACTCAGTGCATGCAGAAAACATTCCCATTAAGGCAAAGCAGTGAAGACAAAGCCTGTGACTGACTTTAAAAACAATTCAACTCATTCATTTTGTTTTTGGCTTAGTCCCTTTATTAATCAGGGGTCGCCACAGCGGAATGAACCGCCAACTATTCCAGCATGTTTTACACAGTGGACTTTTAAACAGTACTGGGAAACACTCATTCACACACACACTCCTACACTACGGCCAGTTTACTTCATCAATTCCCCTATAGCGCATGTGTTTGGACTGTGGGGGAAACCGGAGCACCCGGAGTAAACCCACGCCAACACGGGGAGAACATGCAAACTCCACTCAAACACCAACTGACCCAGCCGGGACTCAAACCAGCAACACTCTTGCTGTGAGGCCACAGTGCTAACCACTGAACCTCCATGTCGCCCTTATTCCTCTGTATCCAGATTAAATGCATCAGACTTGACAGTTTTATTCCCATTTATAATCAGAATACAGACGCCATTTAACTGAGACTGATGACCTTTACACTTTCTAGCCACACCCTAGCAACCAGATACCGCACCTTAGCAACTGCCCCATAGACTGTGATTAACTGTGCTCTCAAATGCTAATAATTTTAACATGCTAGTTACATGACAATCATGTTAGAAACATGCTACTGACATGATGATGATAGCGGCATGGTAATTCATACTAACAACATGCTAATTCATACTTGAAAAACGTTAACAACATGTTAATTCATATTGGAAACATGCTAACAAAATGCTAATTCATACTAGAAACATGCTAACAACATGTTTATTTAAACTGGAAACATGCTAGCAACAATGCTAATTCATACTGGAAACATGTTAACAACATGCTTATTCATACTGGAAACATTAACAACTTGCTAATTCAATCTGGAAACATGTTAACAACATGCTAATTCCTTCAGGAACATGCTAGAAACATGCTACTTTATACTGTAAAAATGTTAACAACATGCTCATTTATACTGGAAACATGCTAACATCATGCTAATTCATACTGGACACATGCTAACATCATGCTAATTCATATTTGAAAAATGTTAACATGTTAATTCATACTAAAATGCTAACCACTGAACCTCCATGTCGCCCTTATTCCTCTGTATCCAGATTAAATGCATCAGACTTGACAGTTTTATTCCCATTTATAATCAGAATACAGACGGCATTTAACTGAGACTGATGACCTTTACACTTTCTAGCCACACCCTAGCAACCAGATACCGCACCTTAGCAACTGCCCCATAGACTGTGATTAACTGTGCTCTCAAATGCTAATAATTTGAACATGCTAGTTACATGACAATCATGTTAGAAACATGCTACTGACGTCATGATGATAGCGGCATGGTAATTCATACTAACAACATGCTAATTCATACTTGAAAAACGTTAACAACATGTTAATTCATATTGGAAACATGCTAACAAAATGCTAATTCATACTAGAAACATGCTAACAACATGTTTATTTAAACTGGAAACATGCTAGCAACAATGCTAATTCATACTGGAAACATGTTAACAACATGCTTTTTCATACTGGAAACATTAACAACTTGCTAAGTCAATCTGGAAACATGTTAACAACATGCTAATTCCTTCAGGAACATGCTAGAAACATGCTACTTTATACTGTAAAAATGTTAACAACATGCTCATTTATACTGGAAACATGCTAACATCATGCTAATTCATACTGGAAACATGCAAACATCATGCTAATTCATATTTGAAAAATGTTAACATGTTAATTCATACTAAAATGCTAACAACATGCTAATTCACACTGGAAACATGTTACAACAAGCTAATTTATACTGGAAACAGGCTAGCAACTTACTAATTTATACTGGAAACATGCTAACAACATGCTAATTCATACTGGAAACATTCATTCATTCATTTTCTCGTCGGCTTAGTCCCTTTATTAATCCGGGGTTGCCACAGCAGAATGAACCGCCAACTTATCCAGCACATTTTTACGCAGCAGATGCCCTTCCAGCTGCAACCCTTTCCTGGGAAACCTCCACACACATTCACACACTCACACACTACGGACAATTTAACCTTCCCAATACACCTACTGCATGTCTTTGGACTGTGGGGGAAACCGGAGCACCCGGAGGAAACCCACGCGAACACAGGGATCATGCTAACAAAATCATGCTAACAACATGCTAATTCATACTGGAAACATGTTACAACATGCAAATTTATTCTGGAAACAGGCCAACAACATGATAATTCATACTGGAAACAGGCTACAACAAACTAATTTATACTTGAGACAGGCTAACAACATGCTAATTTGTACTAGACACGTTATCAACCTGCTGATTCATACTATAAAACATGCTAATTCATGCTAAATTTATGCTAACAACATGCTAATTCTTACTAGAAACTTGCTTGCAACATGATTAGTCATATCTATCTATCTATGCTTTTCAAACAGTTTCAAACTAACACCAAACTGGTTTGCCTTAAAGTCACTTTCTCCTAAACCTCCTGAAGATTTTAAGCACAGATGTTTGCTCATCTCACTGTGAAAGTCTGTGTCCCACATCTTCATGTCTTCTGTGACGTCTTCCAGATTTGATGTGTTCATTGCTTTCCTTCATAGTGACTTTACTGTCGATCTGCCTGAAATGTTCACTTTGTCTCAGCAGCTCAGCCGTACATACATTCATCACGTCTGCGTGTCCGTCCCGTGTTGTGTTGTATGTTGAAATGAGAGTAAATTGAGTCAGATCTGTGTGCGTTTTCAGTCTGCTGGAGTACGACACAGAGAACATGAACTCAGAGGACATCTTTAGAGTGACTGAAGCCATCCAGAGCTTCAGTTTCCGCAGTCAGGAGGACATCGAGACCGCCAAACGAGACGCAAAGCGGGAGGAAACAGTGAGTGCATGAGAAAACAAAATTCAATTCAATTTGTTGATCTGTCACATACAGTCTTATACACTGTATGGTATGCCATGAAATGCTTACACAACCACTTGTGACTAATAGATCAATTACTGTAGTAGTTGTGTTACCATAGCGACTACAGAATTGCCACAACAGATCAATTACTGTAATTGTGTTACCGTAGCAACAATGGAAGAACCACAACAGATCAATCACTATAGTTGTTGTTACCATAGCAACTGTAGAATCACCACAACAGATAAATTACTATAGTAGATGTGTTACCATAGCAATTACAGAATCACCACAACAGATCAATAACTGTAGTTATGTTACCATAGCAACAATAGAAGAACCACAACAGATCAATTGCTATAGTCGTTGTCTTACCATAGCAACTACAGAATCGCCACAACACATCAATTACTTTAGTTGTGTTACCATAGCAACTCTAGAATCACCAAAACAGATCAATTACTTTAGTTGTGTTACCATAGCAACAATAGAAGAACCACAACAGATTAATCACTATAGTTGTTGTGTTGCCATAGCAACTGTAGAATCGCCACAGCGGATCAATTACTATAGTAGTTGTGTTACCATAGCAACTGTAGAATCACCCCAGCAGATCAATTACTACAGTTGTTGTGTTACCATAGCAACTGTAGAATCGCCATTAGAAGATCAGTTACTATAGTAGTTGTGTTATCATAGCAACTGTAGAAATACCACAGCAGATCAATTACTATAGTACTTTTGTTACCATAGCAACTGTTGAATTACCCTAGCAGATCAATTAGTATAGTTGTTGTGTTACCATAGCAACTGTAGAATCGCCACAAAAAGATCAATTACTATAGTTGTTGTGTTACCATAGCAATTGTAGTTTCGCCACAGCAGATCAATTACTATAGTAGCTGTGTTACCATAGCAACTGTAGAATCACCACAGCAGATCAATTACTATAGTAGTTGTGTTACCATAGCGACTGTAGAATTACCCCAGCAGATCAATTACTATAGTTGTTGTGTTACCATAGCAACTGTAGAATTACCCCAGCAGATCAATTACTATAGTAGTTGTCTTACCATAGCAACTGTAGAATCGCCAAAGCAGATCAATAACTAAAGTAGTTGTTACCATAGCAACTGTAGAATAGCCACAGCAGATCAATTACTATAGTAGCTGTGTTACCATAGCAACTGTAGAATCGCCACAGCAGATCAATTACTATAGTAGCTGTGTTACCATAGCAACTGTAGAATCACCACAGCAGATCAATTACTATAGTTGTTATGTTACCATAGCAACTGTAGAATCGCCAAAGCAGATCAATTACTATAGTAGTTGTGTTACCATAGCAACTGTAGAATTACCCCAGCAGATCAACTACTATAGTAGTGGTGTTACCATAGCAACTGTAGAATTACCCCAGCAGATTAATTACTGTACTTTACTACAGGATGGCTCACGAACACTGTAGTATTTACTATAAATGACTATATTATTATTATTATTATTATGTGGGTCAGTGGATACATATAAATTTTCATCATTGATATCCTGATCACTGTCACTACCAGAGAACAGTTTGTTATATACACTAGTCCATATAAAGCCTGTGCGTGTGTATTCAGATTGGTGTGTTGTCATCTGCTATGATGGAGGGCGGCCGGACGGCGCTGGACAACAAGACGTCTTTATTAAACATGCCGTCTCCTCGACCGTGGATGAGAGAATACAACCCGTACAACTACAGTGACTCCATCAGCGCGTATGAGAAAGGAGCGCTCGCAGGGTTTGAGGACACAGAGCAGACACGAGATGGTAAATCTACACTCATAATCACGAATCTTATCATGATGTGCAGAGAAACGGGACGAACGTCTGTGTGTTCTTCTCTCAGAGCGTCAGCAGGACAGTGGAGAAAACAAAGTCATGCACCCCAAAGGCTTCTCTGCAGGTGTGTTTTTGATGCAGGTCTGAGGTTTTTGAATAATTTGCATATTTTTTTAAAAGAGTATTGGGCAGCACGGTGGCTCAGTGGTTGGCACTGTGGCCTCACAGCAAGAAGGTTGCTGGTTCGAGTCCCGGATGGGTCAGTTGGCATTTCTGTGTTCTGTGCTACACAACTTTAAGCTTCTGACACCCGCTTGTAACAGAAGAAGACAATTTGACATGCTTGTTGTCATGGATGGTTCATGTAGCAGCTCTAGTGATGGAGAAATGATTATTGTTCAGCAGTGCAATCAGCAGCTTCACGTTCATATCGCCTCTGGGCATCTTCTTCAATGTGCACTCGCATTGACAGTTTTGCGCTTGAGCGCCCCCAAGAGCTGTTTACTGTAACTTCAGCAGCTCCGTGCACGTGAACAAAAGTGCCGATCTGATTAGTGGAGAAGGTTTTGACGTGAAAAACAAGCATGAGGCGTTTCTTTAAGAATTATGCTTGTGCACCTGGCGTTTTGCGTGTTGGTGTAATGTAATGTGTATTTATATAGCGCATTTATTGTGTATGGCCATACACCCAAAGCGCTTTACAATCATGAGGGGCGTCTCTTAACACCACCACCAGTGTGCAGCATCCACTTGGATGATGCGACGGCAGCCACAGGACAACGGCGCCAGTGCGCTCACCACACACTAGCTATTGCTGGAGTGGAGAGACAGTGATAGAGACAATTGGGTGGAAGGGGAAGATTGGGAGGCCATGATCGTAAGGGCCGATAGAGGGACTTTGGCCAGGACACCGGGGTTACACTCCTGCTCTTTCACGAGAAGTGCCATGGGATTTTTAATGACCACAGAGAGTCAGGACCTCGGTTTAACGTCTCATCTGAAAGACGGCGCCCACTGACAGTGTAGTGTCCCCTTCACTATACTGGGGCATTAGGACTCACATAGACCACAGGTTGAGCGCCCCCTGCTGGCCTCACTAACACCTCTTCCCACAGCAACCTAGTGTTCCCTAGGGGTCTCCCATCCAGGTACAAACCAGGCTCAGCCCTGCTTAGCTTCAGTGAGTAACCGGTTTTGTGCTGCAGGGTGATATGGCTGTGCACGATCACATTGACGGCCTTTATTTTGTCACAAGGCGTTAAACGTTGATGGAAAATGCGAGGAAAAAGCGTCCCGGTGTGCACGGGCCTTTAATGCTCAAAATAAACCTGATTTAACGTCTAGAAGCCGGGATTGAAGCGTCTTGTTTCATAACTGTACTGACAGCGGCTGTGGTGATGAATTACGAAGCGATTTTACCGTCTTTATTTATAACATGCACTGTTTAAAAAACGTTTTAATCTTTTAGATCTCATTCTTGATCACATTCGATGATGATCTGAGCTGAACAGATCTTTAAATCCCAGTTGCTTTGCACACGTCCTGTCTTGTGGATATGATTACACACGTTATTAGGAGACTTGTTAATACGCAGCTTTCAATCAATTCGGTGGGCGGGGAAACCGCACTCCTACGTCACGTTGCGGTTGGCCTTAAAATAGGAGGGATTTGGATCCTATTTTAACGTCAGGAAATTTAAAAAAAAGAGACTTTTTGTGTTTCTATCACTCTAATATGACTGTGGACACACTATACCTACACACAGTTCTGTCCAAACAGCTTATAAAAGAGGATTTAAATGATAGGTGCCCTTTAAATCAAATAGTTTAATTTTAAATTAATTGTAAGCTCTGAAAAAATGCCAAATTAAAAGTCAAACTTGCATTATAGAGGAGCAGAATTCCTCTACCGCATCTTATGTGTGTTGCCTAGTATGAAATTTTAAATCTGGAATGGCTGCTTCTGATTGGCCAGGGCCGCGGCAGCAGCTGGAGCTGGTTGGTGAGCTGCTAAAGGAGCTGTCCAATCGCAGCGCTCGTGTGGAGGAGAGGCGGGCCGCTCTGCTAGAGCTGCTGAAGGTCACGCGGGACGACAGTTTGAGCGTCTGGGAGGAGCACTTCAAAAGCATGTTACTGCTGCTCCTGGAGACGCTGGGAGATACAGACGTGAGACGCTCATCTCACACACACACACACACACACACACACACACACACAAACACTTCTGGTGGTCAAAAACATGATTAAAAACAGACGTTAGTATGTGAGTTTTGTTTATGTGGTGTGTGTGTGTGTGTGTGTGTGTGTGTGTGTGTGCAAGTTTGTTTTTGTGTATGTTTATTTTGTGTGTGTTTATTTATTGTTTGTTTATTTTTGTGGGTAGTAACTGATTGTAGGGTTTGTGTGTATGTGTTTATGTATTTTGTGTGTGTTTGTGTGTTTATTTGTGTGGGAGTGGTATCTATGTGTAGCATATGTGTTTATTCATTGTTTGTGTGTGTGTTTATTTATTGTTTGTTTGTGTGTATGTTTGTGTGTTTATTGTTTGTTTGTGTGTGTTTATGTATTGTTTGTTTATTTTCTGTGTGTGTTTATTTATTGTTTGTTTCTGTGTTTATTGTTTGTGTGTTTATGTATTGTTTTTGTGTGTTTATTTATTGTTTGTGTGTGTGTGTGTGTGTGTGTGTGTTTATTTATTGTTTGTTGGTGTGTTTATTTACTGTTTGTGTGTTTATTGTTTGTGTGTTTATGTATTGTTTGTGTGTGTTTATTTATTATTTGTGTGTTTATTGTTTGTGTGTTTGTTTATTGTTTGTTTGTGTGTTTGTTTACTGTTTGTGTGCGTTTTTTATGTGTGTTTAATTATAGTTTGTTTGTGTTTGTGTGTATTTTACGTTTGTGGGTGTGTTTTATTAATTGTCTGTGTATGTGTGTGTTTAATTGTAGTTTGTGTGTTTATTTGTAGTGTGTGTGTGTGTGTGTTTATTGTTTGTGTTTATAATAGTTTGTTTGTGTGTATGTTTGTGTGTTTAGTGTTTGTTTGTGTGTGTCTTTATTGTTTGTGTGTGTTTATGTATTGTTTATTTCTTGTTTGTGTGTGTGTTTATTTGTTGTTCGTGTTTATGTATAGTTTGTGTGTTTATGTATTGTTTGTTTATTTTTTGTGTGTGTTTATTTATTGTTTGTTTGTGTGTTTATTGTTTGTGTGTTTATATATTGTTTGTGTGTGTGTTTATGTATTGTTTGTGTGTTTATTGTTTGTGTTATTATTTATTGTTTCTTCGTGTGTTTGTTTACTGTTTGTGTGTGTTTTTATTTTTTATGTGTGTTTAATTATAGTTTGTTTGTGTTTGTGTTTATTTAACATTTGTGGGTGTTTTATTAATTGTCTGTGTATGTGTGTGTGTTGAATTATAGTTTGTGTGTATTTATTGTTTGTGTTTAATTATATTTTGTTTGTGTGTGTGTTTATTTATTGTTTGTGTGTGTGTGTGTGTGTTTATTGTTTTTGTATGTGTGTTTGTTTATTGTTTGTGTGTTCATTTATTTATTTGTGTGTGTGTGTGTCTGCGTGTGAATTGCTCCTCATTTTTAAGTTGCTATGAGCCAAAGTGTCTCTATGTGTAGCTGTAAATGTGTGTGTGTGTGTGTGTGTGCAGCACACCGTCCGAGCGCTGGCTCTGCGTGTGCTGAAGGAGATTCTGCGCAGTCAGCCTGAACGCTTCAAGAACTACGCAGAACTGACCATCATGAAGACCCTGGAGGCGCATAAAGACTGCCATAAAGAGGTGACGCAACACTTCTGTCCACAACAGCACAACACGCCTCATTTCATTACAACTATGTATATTGAGCATGTGTTGATGTGCTGGTGTGTGTGTTGATGTGTGTGTTTATGCACTACAGGTGGTCCGGGCTGCTGAGGAAACAGCCTGTACTCTGGCGGGCTCCATTCACTCAGAGCAGTGCATTAAAGTGCTGTGCCCAATCATCCAGACCGCAGACTATCCCATCAGCCTCTCTGCCATCAAGATGCAGACCAGAGTCATCGAGCGCATCTCCCATGATTCCCTGCTGCAGCTGCTGCCCGACATCATCCCGGGACTCTTACAGGTGCACTCACACACACACACACACACACACACACACACACACACACACACACACACACACACACACTAATGTAACTGATAAATTTAGAAATGAAACAGTAAGTGTCTTAACTCACTGAATCACTGACTCAAATGATTCGTTCAGAAACAGATTCATTCCTGAATCACTGACTCAAATGATTCATTCAGAAACAGATTTATTCCTAAATCACTGACTCAAATTATTCAGTCAGAAACTAATTCATTCCTGAATCATTGACTCGAATGATTTACTTAGAAACAGATTTATTCCTGAATCACTGACTCAAATGATTCATTCAGAAACTAATTAATTCCTGAATCACTGACTTAAATGATTCACTTAGAAACAGATTCATTTCTGAATCACTGACTCCAATGATTAATTCAGAAACGGATTGATTCCTTAATCACTGACTCCAATGATTCATTTAGAAATAGATTCATTTTTGAATCATTGACTCAAATGGTTTACTTAGACAATGACTAATTCCTGAATCACTGACTTAAATGATTCACTTAGAAACAGATTTATTCCTGAATCACTGACTCAAATGATTCATTCAGAAACGAATTAATTCCTGAATCACTGACTTAAATGATTCACTTAGAAACAGATTCATTTCTGAATCACTGACTCAAATGATTAATTCAGAAACGGACTGATTCCTTAATCACTGACTCCAATGATTCATTTAGAAATAGATTCATTTTTGAATCATTGACTCAAATGGTTTACTTAGACAATGATTAATTCCTGAATCACTGACTTAAATGATTCACTTAGAAACAGATTTATTCCTGAATCACTGACTCAAATGATTCATTCAGAAAATGATTCATTCCCGAATCACTGACTCAAATGATTTATTCAGAAACTGATTCGTTCCTGAATTACTGACTCAAATGATACACTTAGAAACAGATTCATTCCTAAATCACTGATTCAAATGATTGATTCAGAAACTGATTCATTACTGAATCACCGACTTAAATGATTCACTTAGAAACAGATTTATTCCTGAATCACTAACTCAAATGATTCATTCAGAAACTGATTCATTCCTGAATCACTGACTCAAATGATGTATTCAGAAACTGATTCATTTTTGAATCACCGACTTAAATGATTCCCTTAGAAACAGATTCAGTCCTGATTCACTGACTCAAATGATTGATTCAGAAACGGATTAATTCCTAACTCACTGACTCAAATGAGTCATTCAGAAAGAGATTCATTCCTAACTCGGATAATTCCTGAAAGAATCCATAAAAAGTATAGCATTGTGTGTGTTGCAGGGCTATGATAACACCGAGAGCAGTGTACGGAAGGCCAGTGTGTTTTGTTTGGTGGCCATTTATTCAGTGATTGGTGAAGATCTGAAGCCTCATATACAGCAGCTGACCGGCAGCAAGGTCAGAGGTCACATATTCAGTATATCCTTAAAACATCAGACATCTTTTTTTATATCACTCTCAATCAATTTAATGCATCATTTTTTAAATAAAAAAATAATCCAGTTAATAATAATCCAATAACAGTTACTCAGTGTAATTTCAGTAAATGTTGTTGTGTTTTATATTTGTAATTTTATCTTTAATTGAAATTGTAGTTTTATTCTTTAAATATGTCTATAAATTGTCTAAATTTTTGTTATTTTAGTGCCTTTGATAACCAACTTGCTGGTAAAAAAATAAAATACTATTTATTTATTATTTCATCATAACATAAGTGATGTTAATAGATGCAACTATCAAAAATAAATATTAAAATTGGCATTATTATAGTTTATTATTTATTGCAGTTTACTAATATCAAGAAATAAATGTAGTTAATTTGTATAAGTCTGTGTCCATATGCAGAAGGAGGCTGAGTGTGTGTGTGTGTGTGTGTGTGTGTGTGTGTGTGTGTGTTTTCTTTCCAGATGAAGTTACTGAATCTGTACATCAAGCGAGCTCAAACCATCAACAGCACCAGCAGCAGCTCTTCAGACGTGTCGGCACACAGCTGAACACATTAGACTGTAAAATGGACACACACACACACACACGCAAACACACACACTTCAACGCTTCATCTGTCCTCCACACACTTCATCAAATGCTTTATTACAGTGACCACGACTGTATGAATGTGTGTGTGTGTGTGTGTGTGTGTGTGTGTCTGTATGCAGTGTGCATGTGAGTCTACATCTGTGAGTGTGTGAATCTGTGCATGTCCCTGAAATAGTGTGTGTGTGTGTGTGTGTGTGTGTGTTTGCGTATGTGTGTGTGCGTGCGTGTGTGTGTGTGTGCGTGTGTGTGTGTGTGTTCATGTTTGTTAGAGTATATATCTGTGTTTGAGAGAGTGTAAAAGAGTGTGTGTGTGTGTGTGTGTGTGTGTGTGTGTGTGTGTGTGTGTGTGTGTGTGAGTCTGTGCATATTCCCATAAGAGAGAGTGTATGTGTGTATGTGTAAGTATCTGTGTGTACATATACATGTCCCCCATAAGTGTGTGTGAGAGAGAATCTGTGTGTGTGTGCATGCAGTCAGTGGATTTCCCTGTAAGAGCGTGAGTGTGTGTGTAGTGTGTGTGTGTCAGTGTCTTTCTCCAGGACTTTTATTTTGTTTTTATTCCCCTGTTCCTGCTCCAGTTGAGCATCAGCGTTTCTCTTCCTCAAACTCAAAGCACAGCTGAGCTCGTCTCTGACTGGTGGATCAGCGTCGTCCGTCGTGAATGTAAACTCTAAACGCTCTCTTCATCTTCACATTCATTTTGGTCTTTTGAAAATATGCAAGAACAGAGATTGTACTTGTACAGTGTGTGTTTTATTTGCAGCCAGCAGGTGATCGATATTAGGGCAAATACAGTTTAAAATATTTCTTTCAAGAATGAACTCAATATCTCCTGTCAGTGTGTAGATGTTAATTCAACACTAGCATGTTTATGCTTAATGTCTACTTCTGTGGACCAAACTGATGCTTCTTTATACAAAACAGACCATCTGATCTGGCCAGATAGTGAAGAATCTGTTGGAAAAGGATTATTATGTATAATAAATACACATTAATGTTAATTTAGGAATCAAACCGATGATTTGAAACAAAACTGAGTCGAATTTGAGCTTTAAAAATGTTTGATTCACTCATAAAAACACTCAATTATTGTAAATATCTCCTGATAAATGTGATTTAAGTGCCACACAGACTCTCACAAATCCAAAACAGATTGCAAACAAAGCATTTGTAAGATTAATTTGAAGTTAAATGTGAATTATTCTATGAAATATGAATCAGCAACAAAACTAAATCTGCGTAAAATGGCTGATTCCTCTGCTGAGTAAATACCAAACATTTATAACACTAGTGCTTACTTTATTGATATCTTGCTTTGTGATTTAAGGACCATGCTTATGTTTATTTTAACACACAGTTTGACAATGTTAGATGTGAAAAATGATGTAAACAATCTAAAATTACAATCAAAACAAACTCAAAAGTACTTTATAAATCAGCATTCGGCCTTTAAAATAAACGCTTCCACTTATAAATGCTAAATTTGTACTAGTAAAATTGTGAAATTCTTGGTTTTAAGTGCAATAATTTAATGTAAGAATGATCCAAATTGGATTTTATTCATCAAATAGCCCAGTCTTGTGCTTTAGGAAAGTTAGCATCGGTGTGGCCGTTGGTAGTCTCTTTGTAAATCTTGGTGCTTTAACAAATCACTTGTGCTTTTGCTTTTAGATTTATTTACTTTAGATTTTTTAGAACTTTAGATTTATTGTATTTTTCCTTCTCCTGTTTAATTTTAATGTACACATCGGAGTCAGAAATAATATTATTAACTTATATTAGAATCCCAAAGAACTCATTCACAGTCCTTCTAGCGAACTGAATCTTTTACCATCCTTCTGGCACACCGAATCATATACTGTCCATCTGCGAATCGAATCATTTACAGTCATCCTAGTGAAACTGAATTCTTTAGAGCCCTGCAAGCGAATTAAACCATGTAATGTCTGTCTGCAAATCAAATAATTTAGCTTCCATTCGGGAATCAAATAATCTAGTGTCCTTCTAGCAAACTGAATCATATAATATTTGTCTGCGAATCAAATTATTTAACTTTATTTACGCGAACTGAATCATTTACTGTCCATCTGCAAATGAAATAATTTACTGTCCTCCTTGTGAACTGAATCATATACTGTCCATCTGTGAATCAAATAGTTTACAGTTCTTTAGCAAACCAAATCATATACTGTCCACCTTCGCATTGAATCATTTACAGTCCTCTTAATGAAACTGAATCATTTACCGTCCTTTTAGTGAACTGAATCATATTCTGTCCGTCTGCAAATGTAATCATTTACAGTTAGCCAACTGAACCATTTTCACTCTCTCTATGAACTGAATCATTTACAGTACTCTTTCTAGCGAACTGAATCATGCAATGTTCGTCTACGAATGAAAAAATTTAGGGTTCTTCTAGCAAATCAAATCCTTTATGCTCCTTCTAGTGAACTGAATCATTTACAGTCCTTCTGGCAAACCGAATCGTATACTGTCCATCTGCGCAATGAATCATTTACAGTCCTCCTAGTCAAACCGAATCCTTTACGCTCCTTCTAGCGAACTGAATCATATACTGTCCGTCTGCGAAACAAATCATTTACAGTTGTTTTAGCCAACTGAACCATTTACACTCTTTCTATGAACTGAATCATTTAAACTCCTTCAAGCGAACCAAATCATTTAATATCAGTCTGCGAATCAAATAATTTAGCTTCATTCAAGCGAACGGAATCATATACTGTCCATCTGCGAATTGAATCATTTACAGTCTTTCGCCCAACTGAACCATTTACTCTCTTTCTACGAACTGAATCATTTACAGTACTCCTTCTAGCGAACTGAATCATGCAATGTTCGTCTACGAATCTAAAAATTTAGGGTTCTTCTAGCGAATCAAATCCTTTATGCTCCTTCTAGTGAACTGAATCATTTACAGTCCTCCTAGTGAAACCGAATCCTTTACGCTCCTTCTAGCGAACTGAATCATATACTGTCCGTCTGCGAATCAAATCATTTACAGTTGTTTTAGCCAACTGAACCATTTACACTCTTTCAACGAACTGAATCATTTAAACTCCTTCAAGCGAACCAAATCATTTACCGTCCAGAAACTAAATCATTTAGAACAACAAAAGCGAATATATTTTAAAGTTAGTGTCTTATTTTTGAGATTTCTAGACTCTGCATGTAGATAATTGATTCACAAAGAGTCAACCGATGAACTGATTCACTTGATAATCTGCTAAGACACTGTAAATACTTTATAGTGAACCACATATTTAACCTTTAGTCCAGTTTGATAAGAGCTGCTGCTGCTTTACTAGTGAACTAAGCTGAAATAACCGGAAGGAGAGATGTAGATTGAGTCTCGGGCTTCACGAGATTCCTTTAATCTCCACGTCTGTATTTATTTGGCTGTATGGCAGCTGTTTCTCTGCCGTCTGTAAGCTCTCTATATAAACCAAATCTGCCTTTTCCAGTCGTGTGTCTGCGTGAGTTTTATTTCAGTGTCATTTTGCATTATTCCTGACCGCCGTCTAGTGTTAAATATTCATCAGGTGTTGATTTTGAGGTTATTGGTAATGATTTAATGCTGAGGTGCTGTGTTTTCCACCTCTGATCTGTCAATGTTTTCTCCATTTGATCTCGACAGGCAGAGAATAAGAGAATCTGTGCTTTTAATTGCACGACATTTCGTCATGCAAACTTCTGCTGAACTTAACGTGATTCATTATTAGCCTGGTGTGCTTTTTGTGCATTTCAAAATGTGTTTGAAGCTTATAATTTAATTTATATATTATAATATGATCGCATCTGAGATTATGAATATCATATTACGAGCGTCCAAATCATATTTGTAACCTAAAATCAAAATGAATATCTTAAATTGGAAATGAAAGCAAGTGTAAGAAAGAAAGAAGGGCAGCACGGTGGCGCCTCGCAGCAAGAAGGTCGCTGGCATTTCTGTGTGGAGTTTGCATGGATGTTGGCGTGGGTTTCCTCTGGGTGCTCCGGTTTCCCCCACAAGTCCAAAAGACATGTGGTATAGGGGAACTGATAAGCTAAGATGTCCATAGTGTGTGAATGAGTGTGTATGGATTTTCCCAGTGTTGGGTTGCAGCTGGAAGAACATCCGCTACTTAGAGCATATGCTGGGTAAGTTGGCGGTTCATTCCGCTGTGGCGACCCCAGATTAATAAAGGGACTAGAAAATTGATGAATGAATAAAGAAAGAAATGTGATCTGAAGGTTTAGCTTTGAATTTAATCTTTAGTTTCTTAATTTGAGAAAAAAAAGCATTAAATTCTCGCATTAAAACCTGGATTTAGGAATGAAATCATCCCCAAATCAAAAGCATCATATTAAAATACATATTTATAATGTAAAGCATTTGATTTGGGGAAGCCAGTCTTGTTGAATTGTGTTTGAAGAGTTCACACTTTGCTGATGATTGACTATAAGCAAGTTTGGCATGCTGTCCTGGGAGAGAGCCCTGAGCTCAAAAGGTCCTTGAGCCCTGGGCTCCCTCCCCTTTGCAGGGCGGGAGGGGAGGTTTGAGCTCAGGTAGATCTCGACTACTCCACCCTGGATTAGAGCTGATGACTAAAATGACTGCTATGAAGAGGTATTCTGCAGGATGAGGGATTGACTAGTGCTAAATTTAGGCTGATCAATTCACTTGTGCATGTTTTTGGAATGAGGGAGGAAACTGGAGAACCTGGGGGAAACCCATGTGAGCACGGGAAGAACATGCAGGGGCGCAACTACACATTTACTGAGGGGTATGCGGGTTCAAATTTTGTGTGATCCCTCTTTTTTTGGCAAACTAATAATTAAATTAATTAATTAATAATAAATGAAGACAAATTTTCAGATTAACCTTATAACTTTTGACATTATGTATGATTTGACAGTTTATTTTGATAAAAATAAAGACAAATCTAAACAGTTACATCTACATGAACACTTTCGGCTGTGTGACTGCATGTTATTGTGTTAAATGATTTTGAATTAAACAATAACAATGTTATATTTTTATAAAATGCAAAATAATTTTTTTTAACAAAACATATTTATTTATTTTTATTATTTAAAACTTTTAATAAGGGTAATTTTAAAAATAGTTTTGGCACAATGGCACCCCCCCCCATGTGTGGCGCCCCTATGCGCCGCATA